ATTGATCACCTGGAGTATTCCCTTTTAAAACGAAGTTTTTTCATTTCGGGTGATCAATCATCCCTTCGGGATCAATCACCTGATGTTCCAACTCATATTTAAACCATTTTTCGGTATTGTATGGATGATAAATCTTTGGTATTTTTTTGATTAATTCATAACCATATTTTAAATTCCAAAAATACTAAAAATGAATATTTTGGACTAAAAGAACTCTAATACCAAATGTTGATTATGTCAATTCATATTTTCCAGGTGTGCTAATTTTAATGCCCTGCAACCCGGTTTAATAGAATTGATTATTTTATATAATGAATTACTGTTCCGGACCGGAGTTGGGAAAAATAAAATCCTTAGAAAAATTATTTGAACATGTCCTTAAATTCGTTTTGACTGTCTGATTCCAGAAACGCAAACGGATCTCAATTCGGACCTGTTCGGGGGGGAAACCGTGTACCGTTCAGGTCAGATTTTTCATAACGGAACGAATTTATTGAGATAAACTTCCCATCTAATTCACACGCCACCCACTCACACTCATTCATGTCCATTTAAGTCCCCCATTATTTTCCTCATTATTATTTTCAATTTAAAACCCCAACACATTCCCTTCCTCCACCACATTTTGCAACTCCCATTCCATAACTCCGTCACTCTCTATTCCTCTCGCCTTACATTGTTCGGCCAAGGCAGCAGCAGCCCAGGGAAGTCTCCGGCGAAGCTCTGGTGGGTGCACGGTTGAAGGAGAAGAAGGAGAAGAAGAGCTAGGCCGTTCGTGCGAAGCGTAGTCATCGTTCCTCGTCACCTTCGTAGTTTCAACGCATCGTTTAGAGGTGAGTAGTTGTCCCCTCTAATCCTAGAATATTTATTTATAATCTATGTCGTTATATTTATAGGAATATCGTACGCAACCTACGTAGAATCTATGCATGTCCGTAGGTTAGCCATCAAAACGTTCACTACGTAAAACTTATATATATTGGTCTATGAATTACTAGGAATATATTCACCAATGTTAGTATTATTGTCCTAAAAGAATTAAGGCATTAAACTTTCAAAACGGATCAAAACATAGCCAAGGACAGAAGACTGTCACCGGGATGGTCGACCGTCGCTTTGGACGGTGGACCGTACCCTCAGCCGTTCCGACGGTCATCACCGTGACAGTTGACCGTCAGCCGCGACGGAAGACCTAGGTGGACCGTTTGTGTCCCAGACCCAGACCGTAGCCCGCGGTCGACCGCCGGTAGGGTACGGTCGACCGTTCCTCGGGTAGATTTTTGGGCAGATTGTAGAACGAGTCCCGTTGACCATATTGACCCAGAATCTGATTGAATGTTTGCATGAAATTTTAATCTACATTATGTATGTTATTTAATTGATATATTCTTGGCTTTAACCAAAGGCAAATATATCAAGCATTTATCATGTTCATCCTAGACGCATGTCCCAGGTTTACCATCATGTGCATACCGCTGTAGGGAGGTTAGACTTTCGTGCGCATACTACAGTGGGCCCGTCCAGGAACCTTCGGGATCCAACGGGTTTTTATCAAGTGGGCCTTGTGTACGTACATAGTAGTCAGGTTACGGCTACTACCCAATTTGCTAGTCTACTTGCGACATTCTGTCGAGCCCGGCTCATTACTGTTTCGGTATGATAACCGGAGTGCAGGGGTGATCCTGTCAAGTGAGACTAAGCCAGGGGTGTCCCTGATAGTTTAAGTCATGCACCAAGCCATGTCATCATCATGTATGTTCCATATCACATCAACATTCAATGTGGTTATATATATCATTTCGTTATGTGTATTAGTACCCCATCAAGTGCAAATTGTACAGTTATTACACATGTGGTTTTCCGTACGTTAAGTACAGGTATTAATATGTGTATAACCATATGGGTTATCACTTCATGTTCTTTTGTTAGATTCACTTCTCAGCTTTTGCTGAGCGTGTAGTTGTTTTTGCTACACGCAGGTAGACATGACGGTACAGGTGCTAACCCTGGTGGACAGTGATGATGGGAAGATGGGCGGCGCATGGACAAGTTTAATATTTATAAACATTTAATTAATCGTTTGGGCATGAACCCACCATATGTCATTTTATTTATTTTGGACACGGTTTATTTATTTACTTCCGCTTTTACTCTACATTTATATCACACACGTTTTGGGGTTAACTCCCTAGTATTTATTTCACCTGTTAAACACAACCGTTTTCATAATAAATAAACATTAATGTTTTTCGCTACGGACGGTTCTCGGACCACCCATGTTGGTGGTCCCAAAGTGGTGAAATACAAAGTCTAGAGGGGGGGTGAATAGACTTTGTTACATATTTAAAATCTTTTTCGTTTCTTTTGAAAACGTGAAAATGAGTGTTAATCTAGAGTCCTTGTGAACTTTAGATTGTGTGCGGAATTTGGTGGGTAGAGTGAGCAGTAATCAATATGGATGGGTTAGTTTTCATAGTTAATATAATTGCAAGTAAGAATAAAGATAAAAGAGAGAGACACGCAAACTTTAACGAGGTTCGAAGGTGGGGTAATCCTTCTACGTCCTCAAAATCCACTATGTAGTTGGTTGTTGAATAATGAACCAACAATTACACTTCACACTTAAAGACGTGCCATATAGAAGTGTTCTGGTTACAACGATGACGTGAGCACCTGGCTTTGTTGTTCCTTCGAAGGTCAAGCTTCTTCAACAACTGCAAGGTCCGAACAATAGGACTTGCAAGAGAGTTGACCTACCCCCTTTTAATCAATAAGTTTGATCAAAAGTAATATCCTTCAACGTGGTGTGATGCTTGAGGCAAGGAAACCTTCAAGTGTTTACACTATAGCTCTTTGGAAGGGGGAGAAGTTTGCTTCTGGATAAGGAGTTTAGAAATCTCTCTTTATCAAGCTTTTTGGGCTAACTGTGAATGAGATAGCTTTGTTGTTAGAGATTGCTTCGTTGTATTGTTATGTCTCATTCTTTAGTCTTCCAAGGATGCTATTTATAGCTGGATTGGATAATCTATTCGTTGAATCATAATAGACTATCCATTGCATTTGTTGGCTTCAATTTTGAATGAAGATTGTGATTTGAAGATTCCTCATTGGAATGGGTGTTTGGACATACCCATTTGTTAAAGGAGAGATTCCTTTTTCCATAGAATCTGTCTTCTAGCTGCTGTTCAAGTATTCTGGACTGTAGAACTTTACTCTGTTTGTCTTCTAGTGCTTGTTTAGGAATTCTGGACATGTTCTTCAATTCTTAGAGGTTCAGATTTTGTCTTCGAGTCATTTGTTCTTGAATCAGCATAATTATCTTCAATCTAGCCGTTGAAAATCAAGAGATTGATTTTTCCTTACCAACGGGTAGAATTTCTTCATTCAAGACTTAGATAATTTTCTAAGTCTTTTCTCACTTGTCCGCTTTTTGAGAGTTCCGGTCTCCTTGAGGTATCCGGTTCTTAGCTGACAGATCCGGAGGAGTCATTCTTAGACTTCCGGGTGAGAAAGAGATCCGCGCTAGTCTTCCGATTTGGGTGACTTAGCCTTCTGCGGGTTGTAGCGAAACATCCGGTTCTTATGTAGTTTTCCGGAACAGAGGATTTTCATCTGCTTGAGAAATCCTTACTTGTCTCTAGCATTTCCGATCAAGATATCCAATTTCCATATCACTGAATTTGATTAAGTCTTCAGGTATCAAAACGCTTAAAGAAATATCACAACCTTATTGGAAAACTCAAGAACTTGGTTTTAACAATATTTCTAAAAAGAAAAATTACATTGAATATTGGGGGAGACCTAAAGTCCCTATTACATTCTAAATACATCATCATCAAAATCTATGATATTTTTCCCAACAATTTCCCCCTTTTGATGATGACAAACAAGTGTTTAAGAGTTCCGGTCGCTGTACTGAGAACTAATTTTGTAACTTTCTTTTAGCTCCTCATAATATACATCTTGTTAACAAAAACTCTTAAACAAATACAATTCAAATTACAATAATTCCTAAACCAAGTCTTGTCTTGAGATTTTGTGATCTCTTCCGCCATTGACCGTTTTCAGCTTCAGCAGATTCTGCTTGGCAGAGCGGTTGGCATTGCGTTTGATAGATCTTTAATATCCAAAGTGGATATTTAAGATCTTGGAAGCAACACATCTCTCAAAATAGGAAGAAAGATAGAGAGAATGTTGTTCTAGAGAAGGTGTATGGTCTAATACTGAAAAATACGAGATTTCCACCATAGACCTTCTCTACTGCCGAGATTCTCACCATAGACCTTGAAAGTCTTTTCTTTTCAATAGGCTTCATCCATTGCCGTCTAGGGTGAGAAAGAAAAATTTCTCCATTGAGGATATTTTTCTTGGTGTGTTTCTTAGACAGTGAGTTTGAGGACTTTTCATATTGAGAGAGTTGTTTGTGATGGAAATGGATTGAGATATCTTGATTTAAATAGGAGAGGAGAAGGTTCACGGGTTCCATTAATTTGGTAGGTGGAACAGTGAGAGTAAAAGAGTTTCAACTTCCAAGAAGTTGAAAAGTGGAAGGAATCTTTTACCAATAACCAATGAGTTGAAACTGTTCCAATTTTAAAATCAGTTTCCTTTGGTTTGAGAATCATAACTGTTTTAGTTTGGCTAAGCCCAAAAGAGTGGCCCAAAAAGAACAGAAAGCTACGTACTAAAGGAAAATTATTCCTATTGGGTTCTCAAGGCCCAAAATAAAACTATCATTTTTCATTCCCTATAGTTCTAATTTCTACTTAGGACGAGGTAGTACCAAAACAAAAATGAATATTATTTTTTTAAAAGAAAGGTGGTACTATTTTTCCAAAGTCCTGTACATTTTAAACATCCTAGGGACCAGTACTTTTAGAGCTTGTTGGAAATGAATTAAGGACTGAAGCTTAGTTTAAGAAGGCAGATTTTGTAGAGTACCTGAACCGGAGATTTCCAATTTTAGTACCAAAACTGAGATATCCGTCTTCCATTGCTTAGAGCTTATCAATAATTCATTGCTAAGAACAATTGTTAGCCAAAAACTAGTTAAGTTCCCCCTGAAATACATTCCCCCTTAATGTATGCGCTTCAAAAAAAATTCTCAGAAACATACTTGAGATAAGCATAATCAAGCATAATAAGCATAATTAAGAAAATTGTTGAAGCAATATTGCAATGTTTAAACCAATCAAGCAATGTTTAAGCAAGAAGGTGTTTGCATCAAAACACATTAGTGTTCTCACATACTTTCCCCCTGTTTTGATGAAAAGAACCTTCAGTTTTTCTTGCGCTTTGAAGATCCGGCAACCTCACTGATGCCCTTCATGTTCCCACACAGTTCTTTGATACGCCTTAAATTTTCACGTCTCTCTTCTGATTGAGCATCATTTGAGAAGTGGTCAACAACTGTACCTATAAATTCTGTTCCATCAAGTCCTGAGCTGGATAGAAGCTGTGCTGAGTTTTCCGGATTTCTTTGTTGTGCTTCAAGGATTAGATTTGTCAAGTTCAGATGAGAAGGAATATAAGATACTTCTCCTTCTTTGACTGCAATAGGAAGCTGTGGTATTGGAGATAGACTGTGTTGTTGGAGAATTACTTCCATCTTGCGGTTTCCAGAGTTTGCGCCAATAAGTCTGAATAGCTTGTATGCTTCCTTTTGATTGTCAGTGATCACCTTCAAGTAGTCTTTGGTCACTACCTGATTTGCCGAAGCTACTGCTAGGGCTGATCTGATATCCATTTGGAGAAGGGACACCTGTTTTTGGAGACTAACTGTGACACTCGCTATTTGCTCTTTGACTTTGTTGATCTCTTTGAGTTGAAGTTGACTGTCAGAGGCATATATTTCCATCGTGTTGCTCACAGTTTCACTCAATAGAGAGATAATCTCTAGAGTCTTCTGCACTGATTTACTTATTTCTTTGAGATCTGCGCAGTGTTTTCCTTCAAATTTCTCTATCAGCTGGGTGTGCCTGACTTCCATTTGCTCTATCTCTTTCCTAAAGAAGGTATGTTGAGATGCTAGGGTTGATTCAATCAGCCCTTGGACCTTCTTTGTCCAGTTTTCCGGTATCTCATCCGGAAGAGTAGGGGTGGAAGAGCTATGGAAATGAAAGTTGGTTACCTGATGAGATGATGGTGTTCTTTGGAAGAGTTGCATAGGAAGAGATTCAGCATTTTCTTGTACATCTTCTTCATCAGTAACCTTCAGTGTTCTTTCAGACTCTCCTTCTGCTTCAAGTGCAAAATTTGATATATCCCTAGAGAGGGAGTCTCTTTCTTCAGCTGTATTCTCTTCTTCAAAAATGGCTACTGGAGTTTGAGAGACCTCTAGTTCTGCCATTTGAGTTTCCTTTTCAGCTTCTCCAGAATTCCTTTGTGCTTCAACAGCTTGCTCCATTGTTTCTGGAAGAGCTGACTGTTCCGGAGTTTCTGCTGACTTCTCCGAGATCTCAATTTCAGTAGGATTGGAGATCTCACAAGGAGTGGTGAGAATCTCCAAAACTTGAGATTGGATTAGTGGCTGAAATTCTTCTTCTGCTGTTTCTTGGTTCTGTTCTTGTGGGGGTGAGGTTGCCTTCTCTTCTACAACTTCAGTTAGAACCATTTTAGAAACATGTGAGGTTTCCGGAAGTGTTTGGAAATCTTCAGCTGCTGCTTCCTAAACACCTTGTGCTTCAGAAGTGAAAACCACTTGATCTTCTGTGTCTTTTGAGAAGACTGACTTGAAGACTACAGGATCTTCATCATCTGCTTCAAAGTCAGAAACTGGTGTGTTGGCCAGGTATTCCAGATGCAAGTCTTCAGGATTCCTTTGCCATACCCAGTAGTCATCCAAAATTTGTTCACAGTTGTGGTTGACTGGTATTCTTAAGCACTTTTTGATGATCTTCTCATTCTTTAGTTGTTGGTCCTAATTCAACAGTTGCTCTGCTGAATTTCCAACTTTCCAGGCTTTCCAACCATAGTAGAGCTGCCAGAATTGGTTATCTGCATCATCTATTTGAGGTTGAGGTGATGAGGTTGGAAGGCTTTGGACTTGAGGAATTTCTTCTTCAAGTTGTTGAGGGCTCCGGTTTTGAGCAGAGGTTTCCTCAGCACGTTCCTTCTCCTTCAACTCATCCGGATTGACATTTCCAGATGTTGATGGAGAGTTGATCTTCCTCTTCTTCTTCCTTTGAAGTTCTCCTTGGTCAGAGGATTCTTCTTCTTCTTCAAGATTTATTGGAGCAAGATTCTGTGGTGCTTTAGCACTGGGAGAGGGAGACACCACATGCTTTCTCTTGGTAGTCTTTGCGAAATTGATGAGTGGAGCATTGTCTGATGAGCTTTCTTCTGCAGTGGCACTAGCACTAGCTCTGTTTTCTCCTTTGGAGGATAAGTAGTATAGCCAGTATCTGGCTTCATACTTTTTCCCTTTAACTGCAGCGCCCATAGATTCCAAAATATGTCCAACATACAGACCTTGACAGAGATACTTCTGATTGTGCTTTTCCTAGATGTTTTGAAATGGATTTGAAAAAGTGTGCAGCCCAGTTTACCTTAGTTTTGGTAATGAGAGAGTTGATGATGAAGGCTCTCTCCTGGGTGATGTCATCGGCATGACCTCCACTTCCACACTCGAGGCAAGCGATGACCAGTTCCAAAACCAACTTGTAATCGTTGTTTAGATCTGCTTTCTT